CCTCCGTCACATTTCCATGTTTTTATAGGATTCAATGAGTGAAAAAGTCGGAAAGGTTGGACGACTTTAGGAAGAGGTAAAAGGTTTACGATGTCTGAATAGCATTATGATAAACAGATGTTTCATTGGTTTCAAATAGACGGTGGATAGAACAATATAATATTTAAGAAAAATAGTTTTTATAGCCAAGGGGCACTAAAACATATATGTGATAAAAATACCATAAAATAAGACATACAAAATATATAAGAAGGAGATAGTATTAAAAAAACCTTAAAAAACTGATTGTGATTTATAAAACCTGTAGTACTGCTACAATCATCTTTATGTTCGTCCAGGCTAATGGTAGTACATAGCCATGACTTCTTTCTTTTGCCAGCTCGTATTCCTTTTGATGAGCTGGAGAATAGTCATAGCGTGGCCCAGAAATGCATGCCTTTTGCCACTGCGGTGCGTTGCAATTAAAACCATTACAATCCTTTCACATGCAATACTACTATATATGATAAGACCTGGGGGTAACATATGTTATACTATAGTTTGGGTAGCTATAATAATTAAAAAAAACATTTATTTATCAAACCATCGATTGATTCTTGCATATACATTTATATACATTTTTTTACATATAAACATTACGTTTCTGGGATCAGTAAAAAATTTACTTGTGCTATATATTAGCATATGTTAGTTACTAAAATTAAGATGAAAAGACTGCAGAGATACGCTTAGCCGTCTATCGCAAATTCAGTACTTTCTATAACAAAACTTTCTATAACGGTGTTAATATAAGTAATTATAATTGTTAATAAATTTATTGTAAAAGTCAACTTAAAATTTAAACTTAACTTGTATCGGAAAATAAATATCAATTCACGATGTCATCAATGATATTTCGAGATATACATTAAAAAGGCGTGTTTGAGTTGCCAACTGTTCATTGCTGTACACCGAAATACGACCAGCAATGTACGAGTATCCATTTCCTGTTGTTGTTCACACATCGCTTTAAAGCGAGTAATGCGCCATAAAGGATCTGGGCTTTATTAAATTTTTTCTGATAAAGTCACCTTCATTACTATTCCGCTTTCGCACGCCGCGAAACCTTTATGTAAATTATACTGTACATATATTAGCATTTTTTAATACCTTTGTACGTAAAATGTATAAGTACTTGAGTTTTCGTTCAGTAGCTAAACAATGGGAACTTTAAGAAGCTTAGTACTGTTCTGTATATATTGCCACTATGTGTCTTATCTCATAAATTCAAATTTAATAAAAAGTTGTTAGTTATTATTGTGGCCGCTAGAGACAGAGTAGCCTAACTCCAATTTTACGACTTTTTATATTTTCATAATCTAAAAATGTAAATCTGCAGTAGCCGAAAATTGTTAATATATTTTTTTACAAAAGTATTAGTTAAATCCATTTTCGCCTAAGTTATTTGCGCATTATTATTTTCCTTATTGTGAATTATGTTTTTTGTTATTAACCCACTTTGCCTCTAGCAGGGTAAAGTCGTTACGACTACTTTATTTCTTAGTAAAAGCAATATTTTTTTATCTACACAAACTCATAAAGACATTAGTTAGAAATCAATGGTCCGACAACAAATGATTTTAATCATTATTACTATTATATACAAATATATATAAAACAAATAAAGAGAAAGCTAAAAAAAATGTTTTAACACGATATTAAAAAAGTACTGTAGTAGTAATCATATTTTATCATATCGTAAGCTTATTATTACATTCTAATAAATATTAGTTACTTTAACTAAGACGACAATTTTCATCAATACTTTTACTTAAAAAAAAGAAAGTTTCCACAAATAGGATATTTGAAGATGTTCAAAGTTCGCATATAAAAGAGAATAAGATGACTTTCAAATAAATATACTTTCACCATTCCACATTTACCCCAAATATATTGGACCGGGAATTACCCAACTAAAACCATTAGATTCGGTACAGAACTGAAAATCATTCATGACAGTAATCCAATAGCACGGACATTGACGAAGGTGTTATCGCCATCTCTGTCTAGCGGCTTACGAAGGATAGAAAAGGGAACACACTCACTAATTGTATTACTATTAATAAGGGCCCTGTGACATCTTTAGTTTAACCGTAACATTTATTATTTAGTATCAACGTGTGATTGGTACAAAGAAAAACATTTACACAACATCAAAAATTCTAATCAAGTGTCGTATATTGTTAACGCGAGGAGTGCACATTTAAATAAAACACTTTTAACGGTTTGAAGCGCGAAAAATATTAGTTAACTCATTTCCTTGAACTACAGCCCGAAGTTTCGGATGCTTTGTAGTTGCTGTCATGATGTAGGAACATCCCAACTACATATATAACAAGCAAGTAATATATTTCGTGTTTTAAACAATTACCATTTTTTTTGTTTAAATTATTAATAATCCAAAGGCATAAAACAAATATAAAGTGGAATTATTAAGATAATCATAGTAACAAACTTGAAGATTGAATATATGATATGATTGAAGTCAAGTTGCAGCAAGATTTTTAAGCTGTAGCTAGAATTAATGTGTATCATTGTTTTTTCTATTATACTTGCGCATTAAAATAACTCTAAAAACACTTGTATTTATTCAAATTTAAATTAAAACTGGGTGGTTAGAAAAAAAAAAAAAAAAAAACTTTATGTTTCCTTATATATGGTACAGAATCGTTAATATATTTAAAGATCATTGTCTTTCGGGCTGTTCGGCCGATGTGAGCGAGAAAAAGTTCTCGACGTTTCGCCATCACGTGTGGACGGCATCATCACGAGATGTTACCTCCTTGATTGCTCGAAGTCTTCCGAAAGACAATGATAAGCTGAAAGATGGCTGTGAAAGCCTTACACAATTTATTAACTTTAAAGATATTTAAAAATAACGTGTGAAATGTTTCTTTTTATATTCTCATAATTTTGTTATGTTTAAATTGACACTGTCTGAATTGTCCATACTTTAATAGGAAATAACAAACTGCAGATGTACTTTTAAATTATTTATTAAATGTTTTACTTCGTCATACTTTTACAAAGTAAAGATGAATTTTTATCTATAAGTACATGTTAAATATATAACTGAAATTGCACAGATTATACAGGTATCACTTACGAGCAATAAATCAATGTTTTACATAACAATATTATTGCAGGAGGCTTATGATATAATAAAATAGTTCTATAAATAAAATAAATGGCTGAATGCTAAAGGTTGTAGGAATTTAAACTCGTGCCCGCGCGGATTTCAGCCTATTTTCGGAACAAAGCTCTTGCAAAATACTTATAAAGGCCCTCGCTAAGAAGCTAGAATACGACTTGAAAAGGAGAATCTTTGTATCATTAAAATTTCAAAGTTTCGGAAACTAATCGTGTTAAGTTTGCTTCTGTTTTGTTCCAACATTATCTAGTTTCCTACTTAGCAACTTGCTGAGATTATACGAAATAACAATTAGTTTGAAATTCGCATTGTATTAATTTATATGACAAGTTTAGTGAAAAGTTATTTGAGTAACTTTCAGGTAATTATCCGGATCAGTGCCTTTCTGGATCTTAAAATATAAATTTAAATTTAGAATCGCGAGATTTTATTGATGCTTTATTTATAACAACTGATAATTTCATAATTAGAACTATTATAGTAATACGAACATAATGAATAATTATAATCTTCAAACGTTAATACCAACCTAACCAGGTCAAGATGTAATATATATATTGTTAACATTGACCAGAAATTCGTTGATATGCCAAAAGTAGCTTACATTTCCAAAACGGCATATTGCGATAAATCGTGCTTAGTATTAAGCTAAACGGAAACTATGTTACAGATTTCACATTAAAACTTGCCAAGGAATGAATATAGACATTTATGAAAATCATCGAGGCCGAGTACGAAGCAAGATGTTAAAAAAAATCATTTCAAATCACTAATAATTGCATTCTTTCTTTAAACTGATTGAACTCAGTCTATCGTCGTTTTAACTAAGCTACTTGTTAAATGGTTTCCGATAAACATTCAGTTACGCAGCTACATATTACTTTGTATTAAAAAAAATCTATGGCAGTGTTAATTTTACAAAAAAAAATAAACCAAATAAAATTTTAATTTCATTTATTGCAGTTAAATTGACTGGATACAATGAAAGATTATGTATACAAACAATGTTTTAATTACATAATTAATATTCAGTCAGTAAGGAATTATTTCATACAAGGTAAACATCGGTAATGTGATCATACAACCTGTTAATCCGCATCTAATTCTATGTACATATTTACACAAACTATTGGTCCGTCTATGTTAAAATAATATAATATTAATTAATTCAATACGAGTTCGACAATTACACGAAAATTATTATTACAGTAATAAAAACAATGAAAACACCATCATTACATTAAGATTTTGATCGACTTTCATTTTCTATCAACTATTTTATAATTACCCTTAATGACGCATTTATAACGAATACACGCTTATTTCCGTCGTTCAACACGAGAGTCTCTTTGAGCAAATGATTATTCACATCTAACTGGACTAAGTTTTCGACAACAGATACTTTTATACGAGAGTACATAACTTAGCTGGGATATGGCTTAGCCGTATTTATATTTACAACAGTTTACAGTTTATGCTATACTTACAAATGTTTTACGTCTATTACAACATCGGTCCATATGTCACTTCCACATAATATACGTATGGCAACACTAAACACTTCACTGTCAAATTTCAAGTCGTCATATTGCTTATAATTGAAGCTAATACGTCATAATTTATATAAAAATCACTAGTCACTGTTTTAAACGGATATGATATCACTAACTTCGATAGTTTTGTCACCTTCCAACCAAGGGCGTTAAATGTAATCATCTACACCCCTGAGAAGGTCCGGCTGAAGTCACACGATTTCATCGTGGTGAACATCACTGCAACTGCCGGTTCGTTGCAGTCAGGCACGCTGGCGTCACACCCTCAACTCTTCCATTGTCACGTTGGACTTAGCGTTCAGTTGGGTGTTCTTCTTCGTCAGCGTATTTGTGTTGATCATCTGCATTTGATGCGAGAGCAGCGGCTGATTTTCTTGCAACTGACCACTTGCTAACGTGTTAATATTACTTTTGCCGATTTTGGGAGGCGGTGGAGCCCTCGGCAAAGTAGCCATTGCAGACACGTTGTTACTGGGCAGGTCTGCAAATTCCGGTGGAGGAAGTTGGTGATGCGAATGCGTATGGTGATGGCTTAGTATTGTAGCTGGGTCGTTCTTAAGGCTTGTTTGAAATGACAGTGCGCTCTCCAAATCACCGCAAATATTATTAGGCATTTGACCGTTCTCAACACGTTTCTTCAGATGTGAATTTGGATCGCCTTGACCGTTCATTCTAGTTTTATCTCTTTGATAGTATACACCGGCAAATATCAATACGTTGAGAATTAGTAGCGAGCAACCAATGGCTATAGTTACACTTAAAGCGGTTGAATAAGCAGCAAAACCATCCTCTGGAGGTGAGGTACTGTGCGTATCAGATTTATGAACATCAGATAACGAAGTGCTCTGCGTCACAACGTTCATTCCGATAACATTGAAATTCATCGGAGCTGTCACATTTAGAATTGTTAATAGAGGTACTTTAGTCGCTGAATCAGGGAATACTATTTCCGTTGCCTTCTTAAATGGCGGAGTAAAAGTTTTTAATGTTGGCTGTAATGAGGATTCTTCGTGTTCAATTTGATGGTGCGATTGCGGTACGTCATCACCGCCAGGCCGATGTAGATCTGGTATCAAGTTCAACCAAAATGATAATCTGTGAACAATATTTTTTATTAGTTATGACCAAATAACTATTATGATCTGATTATGACTTATATATAATATAGATTTAAGTTATTCACCAAGCTAAAATTCAAATTTTAACTGACCTATGAGCTCTGTAATGATTCTTCAGTTTAAATTTTAGATCAATATTAAGGTATCTCTTATGAACTTCTTCATATGCGGTCCACTCAAAATTCTTCATTCTCACTCTGTCCTGTCGACCAGCTCTTATTGGATCACTCTCTTGAGCTTCATTTGGATTTCTATAAAAATATATTCGTTAAGTATTGTAATGGTAAGATGAAAAAAGTTTAAAATCATATTAAAAGCTTACCCTGTCTTAGCAAAGTTACCCCAGTACAGCATGACAGACTCAGATAAGCCAATTTCTGCCTTGGTGTAGTTTGCAGGGAAGTGGGCCAGCCCTCCTACTAACGGCGCACCAAAAATATATGGTAGATCTTCTCCGTGGATACATCCTTGGCGCTGTAAACAAAATATATTTTTGGTACACTCTAATATTTTTCACATGTTATTCTACTCTTGCACAAATCGATTCAACCATTCGGTGTCCACTGCTGGACATAGACCTCCTCCATAGCCTTCCAATACGACCAGTCGTTCGCTAGTTACACATAAATAAATTAAAAATCGATTAAGATTGAAAAAAAATTGCGACACGGGTGAGGCTTGAACCGGCATCCATAGTGTGCCGTGTAAAAGGTGCAAGTATGTATATGTTGTAAAAATGCGACGATGACGTGTAGGATACGGTTCCTAAATTGATTGGAACAGCAGCGCGAAATGCAGTGGAAGCGGGAAGTCCTGACGGTATCGTAATTTTTTTTTAATCAAAATGAACTTTTAATTTGTACGACTAAGTTCTAATCCATATAATCGTTACCTTATAAAATATTATATATATATTTTTTTTTTGCGTAAACGATCTAGCCTGAAATTCTCACCTTGTTGGATTAGACGTAAATTAAGTTTGTCCGAGCTAAACGGCTGAGTAACTTCATTAGACAGGATCTTCTGGATGTAATAATTTTACTTAATGCCTCACTGCTGAGCATTATTAATTCTAACGCAGTTATCGGTTTTATTTGTTTATTTTAGTTAAATTATTGATGTTGTTTGTGTAACGTTGTAAATTCGGCGAATTCAAATATTAATTTCATTATCTCTTTGTAGTTGTTATTTAATCATAGATCAAATCAATATTTTATATAATTTAAGGTCATACGAAACATTTTACGTGACGGGCAGCACTTGGACTGGCATCCACAGCCTTCCTTGCTTTTGCCCTTTTATGTATGTATATTTATATATATACATAAAATTTCAACCTCTCGCTACATGCACAATGCGCAATGTTATTTTAACCTTAACAATAATTTTTTTCGTAATTTGAGAAATTAATCTTAAATTGATCTTGCATACTCGTTTACTCGAATTACATCACTTCAAACACGAGCTATATAAATATTCCAATACGATACGTTTCGGTTGCTTAATATCAACGATATTTAGAGAAATAAAGGATGGTGAGAAACCTTAATGTGATTAACTCGATCACGCCTACTGCAAAGCATTTAAAACATTTACAAATAGTGTAGGTATAAAATCAAAATGTATTTATTTAATTTATTCACAAAACTTATTTTACCTTAACAGGTTATGTTTTTTTTTCTTACTTTAATTTGAATTATTAAAGAACTTTTCTAGTTCCAATAAGTTGTTTAAATAAGTTTTTTTTGCTAGGCAACTGGCAGCGTTCTCTATAAAATTATACTAAAGAGCACTGTTACATTCACAAATTGCTTTATATACAAATATAGAACAATAAAATGTATCTTTCGAAGTTATTATTAGCGTCTTCAGTGTGCCTTGATAAAAGCTATTTCTCGAGACCTTTTGTAGACCCAAGTCAAACAACACCTCACAAAGAACCGGAGAGAAAATTTAACAGTACTCCATTCCAACATGATATTAAAATGTGACAACATTTTCTTTTCATTCTCCTGACATCAAATACTCCAGAAATCATTTCGCAAAAGATGTCTCGTTCCGTTATATTTTCCACCGAAACGTGTCAATGTAAATAAGTGAAACATGTCCTTTGACTTGTGCTGAAAAAGTTAATCATCCTGCTACGATGTAATATTAAAATTCGTATTTTCTTTGGGTTTTAAATGTGTCTTAATGAATAATTGTACACGAATTACCAAGATAAGAAAGGTAAACAATCTTACTTAAACTGCTTAATGAAATATTAAACACTGGTTCATTTGTAATATGGGACATAATATAAATGACAGGAAGATGGAACTTCCACCGAGGTCATTGTCCGGAGGTGGAAATGCCTTGAAGTGTAAATGCACGTTTCTGATTCAGTTTGTTTATTCTCGATTGTGTAAATAAGTCATCTCTCTGATTTAGTATAATAGACTCCTGCAGTGTACCTTCCTTGAAATCACACGAACACACACAAACTGTATGCATGAACACTTCTGCCCCCTGTACAATGAAAGCAGCTTTTAACAATTTTAACATAAAATTTAATTGTAAATTATTGTTTTGCAAACTTAAGCATTTTTTTACAGATTAACCGTAGAAATCTTACTTAATATTTTTTTTGAGTTATGACACTTAGGTTAGCGTATTTTTTATACACTTAAAAGTTTAGTCAGAAAGTTGAAAGTGTTTTTTTTTTCACCAGTATAGGATAACACTATTTTCACACGATTAATAATTCATATTTAAATTCAAACTTTTCATGGGCATTTTTACACTTTTAAACAAAACACTTTAACATTCACGTCAACTATAGACAGTATATAAAACCTTTTTATAGCATTTCAAATACTTTGAAAACGTAGTTTCAATTCCAGTCTTAATATATTCTATGAAGCCGTTCTCAAACACGACCGCAGACATAAAAAACGAATAAAATCGTCAATATTTCTGGGGAACAGCTTCTTGTGTAATGGATTTATGCCAAGGAGCCGCAGCGTTGAATGCATCTTTGCCAATTGGAAGTTGGAACGACGCCCTGAGGTAGCCATCTTAAGTGAAAATCAATTTTTCAAATTTTTTTCCCAATTCTTTATTTAATCAGTCAATATTAGTAGAATAACATTGCCAATAGTATTATTTTTTATATTGCGTCAGAAATTTTAGTTACATATGAATAAACAAGTTAAAGTATTAATACATTCAATTTGTTCTTAGTCGTTGTATTACTATATACCTACTACGTGAAATAGTTGCATTTTAAACTGTTAAATAGCGTTATAATATTTTTTCTATGTAAAATTCGTGACTGCTTGTTGTCTAGCATTGCGTTGAGAGTTCCTTGGTTTGAACCTCGGAGAAACAATAGTTTGGCTCGGGCTGGGCACAGAAGTCTTAAACTTGCTAGTGAGACTACCCAAACGGACCCAAAAATACTATTACTTAAAATGTAACACAACTCATTTACAATTTCAATAGCCTTTTATAAGACTGTGTCAATGCATTATTTAAGCCTCTATAGAACGAAACTAACATTCATATATTATTATTGATTATACTCTTCTCCTTCTTATAAATTCTTCTAAGAATATCTTAAGTCATGGAAAACTTAGCAACATAATGTTGCACCCATTACGACCGCCAAATCTCCAGTTTCCGTCTGACTAACAATGAGGTAATTTAGCGTACTTCATTGACTCAGCACCATGAAACGACCCAACTTCACTTATATTAATAACAGCCAACTTCTCCTGACCTCCGAGCCAGACGGCCATCTATGACAGATGAGCTCTCCTTAGACCGGCTAAGTTTAATAACGTGGGATGAAATGAAGATGCCTGAACTCTGCAGTCAAATTGGTGGGCATCAGTGGCTCTATAACTTTGTTGTTCTTCCGAAGTTCCGATTCCAATTAAGCGAAATTTAAAACGATGACGCGGTGTAAAACTATATAGGGTATTGCAAAAGTTTAATAACTATTTTATAAGGCAAATCCACGATTCAAAGTAACTGTACAAGCTTGATAAAAATTACAAAACGGCCAAAGAATACAAGCACATATTGTTTACAAGAAAACACAAATAAAAGGACCATATATTCCTTTATCCTAACTAACTAATATTAAAAAAGTTCTCAGGAACTACTGATTTAAATTCTCTTTGTCTTGATTAGAGAATTTATCGAGGACGAACGGAAGAATTAGTGGGAAATGAATGAAAAACTGGGAAAATTGTTTATTTTGTAGGTTTTCGTTGCGAGCACTGCGAAAAACTACTAAAAACTATGTATGAAAGAATGATTCATGTTAAAACGATCTAAAAAATGTCTCTACCAATATTTGGCTATCTTTCTTCCTCAATCATAAAAAAATATACATAGAGATAGACAATTTTTATTATGTAATGTCATAATTTGTTTATGTATGTATAATTTTTATATTTAAAAAATTTACCGGTACAGCACTACCGCACTGGTATAAAAATGTCCTTATGAAGGACTAAATCAGGCCGCTAGAGGCAGAGTAGCCTAACTGCAATTTTATGACTTCAGTTATTTATATTCCTATAGTCAAAAATGTTAATTTACAAGACACACCAAATAATAGTAAAAATTGAATCCTTATTTATAATCATGTTTTATTAGGCCACTCTGACTATAGCGGCCTCATTATATATATATGTATATATAATGTTACGCATAAATCAGAAATGCAATATTTGAGAGGCATTATTACCGGGACTATTATAAATTATTACGAGCACAAAAGTAGTTAGGCCAGCAATTAGTGTTAATTTTGAAACCATTTAGGAGTTTTACCGCCGATGGCAATGGGCAGGCATTGTTGAAAGTGAGGTTTTTTCTCTTAAAAGGGAAATTAAACTCGGACTAATTGCGATATTAAGTAATTGTAATATTAAAGACTTGTTGTGGCACCTTCTTGCTTATAACACTTATTTTGTAAGTTTTAATGCTTTTAAACTGTAACTAGCTGAACTGGTAAACGTATTTTTCCATATCAAGTATATTAACTAATCTACCTAAAAAGATATATATATATATATATATATAATTATATATCTTTTTTAGGTATGTGGAACTGCTTTTTGCAGTACACGCAATGGAAGCCCACATGGATAAAGAGGAATAATTATTACCGATTTTTTCACATTCCCTTCTCTTTTTTCACTCCTTTTGGTCACATCCTTATGTTTTCAATTCCAAGTAATAGTTTTTAAGATGAGGGAGATCAAGTAAACCAACGAAAAAAACGATTACAAGCTTTACAATATTAGTATAGACCTATACCGGAACGACTACCTACTTAAAATAACTTAAAATGTAATTTGTTTTCAGCACTATTAAAAAAAATGTACGAGCCCTAAAATATTAACATGACAGCATCGCGTGACAGATATAATATACATTATGTGTTAAAAACATAATAAGGTTTATAATATACATGTAAACACAAGACGGCGGATTTTTAACGACTTGGAAGTACCCCAAATATGGTCTTAAGGCAGCTCGTATACGAACGGTTGAAACGCACACAAGTTAAATATTAAAGAAATATTAAGTATAAAAAAAATATTATTTTATGAATAATATAGAATAATAAGAAAATTTAAGACCCGCTCGTAAAAAAATATCAATGTGCATAGATATTTGAATAAATCACTTTAATAGTTTAAAACGCGATATATATTAGTTAAACTTATTTTCACTACAACGTTTCGGATGCTTTGCAACAGCCGTGGTCACGGGGAGACTAAAGATGGAGGGTTTCTCTAATGTCAAAAATTGCTAAGCTAACGCCATCTGTTTCGTCGTAGTTGGTATTTGGCGATGTTGAATATATATATAAATAGATGCTTACAATTGAGAATTCTATATTATACCAATAAGTGGTTCTAAAAACACTTTCACCAAATTTTATAGGTGAATAGAATATACAATTATTATTTTTATTTATTTGTGAAAATATTCATACTGGTGTGTTGAGAAGAAACTTCACCCTATTCGAATAGAGTTATATAAATCACTCGTCTATAATAGTCTTATAATATGAAATGAATTAATTATGCTCTCCGAGTAAAGATCTTTGGCAAGTTTTCATTTTGTATAGCACTTGTTAAGAGTTAAGTCAAAAGTTCATGAAAATGACTTGCTATAAAGCTCTAACGGTGTCAGATGTTATATGAATAACGTAATTGCTTTTGTACGTTCTATTTTTAAAATACCTTCAGCGGAATTTTATTGCAGAGGGTTTTTTATGTACAGGCAACGGGAACTTCTAAGGCGCTTCAATAAATTTGTGAAAATGTTAAAGGTATTTTAAAGGAGAGACGAACTTGCGATTTTAATTAAATGTAATATATCTACACGACTATAAAATGTTTATTTAGGAGTATATTATGATTCTACAATTATTGTTTGAGAGTGCCCACAAGTCATGAATGGACTGAATAAAACACAATTTTTCTTTCCTACAAGTTGTGTTGAGAATTGTATTCTTAATTACAAACTAATTAATAAACTAAAACTAAAGCTAAAGCACACAGGCAAAGCATTACTTAACATTATTTTATTTTATTTTTATTATTTGTACTTTTTTAACTCAAATTGAGTAGAGAGAATTCAAGTGTAATCTCGATGTGAGACTAAATCGATTTCTGTGAAATCCTGTCTAAGGATCTCTTACTAAGTATATATTTTTCATAACCCGTAAAAAGAATTATTTTTATAATGTGGCAACAAAAATACGCTAAACCATAAATATACACCCTTCTATCACCAACAACTGTTTATTACTAGTTATTTTAATGATTTAATCGTTTTAACTGGTAAATTATCACTCACGTCTAACGGTGTCAATAAATTATACTACATTAATGGTTTGTTATTATATGTCCTCATCGTTCAAAGGGCTCTGCGTCTCTTTCCCTCATACACCAGATCACTCTAGAAATAATTTATATAGCAAAACATTTGCCGGGACGGCTAGTATCTATCTAATTACAACGGTAGAAAATCGAAAACAATATATCTAAGTCAACTCGAGCTCAAGACGGCGGGTACTTACCTGAGGATAGTCTCCGTTCTTCGTCTGATAATCGAAAACATACAGGTAAGAGTTTCTTCTTAACGCGGAGTGTGTGTCCGCTGTTAACACGATCGGAGCGACCACTTGTGCGTCACTTAATGCTTCCAGTGTTTCATCCCTATTAGAAAAATAATGAGGGTAGAATTAAAAGTTTTAAAGTCCCCTTTTATATTAATTTATCTACCACAAGTGCGTTTACATGGAAGAAAATTGAATTATTTTTTCTCAAGAGAGCTTTATTAATTTAAATTGACAAGTAGATGATTCGAACCTACAAGAGAGGTATATTATGATAGCACGTCCTTCGAGAAACGCTGCGGTCGTGCGTTAGGGTTTCGACCGTGTCGATCAAAGTGGTATTTTAAAAAAATTACAAAAGTAATAAATCTAAAAATCTTTATTGTATTAGGTTTGTAGCCTCTTATGGTTGGTTGTATATGACGCGCGAAAACATACTAAGAAGTAGTTAGTAATGAAAAGTTTGTAAATTAATTTAAATAATAAACCTTATATTGACGGGATGCTGTACAGGTTTCTCCCAATCCGTGTATTCATTTATGATGGTAGCTAGTATCTCCGATAGGTGGTAGCTGTACGTGTTTCTGACGAAAGCTTTCAGGATCTTGGACCTTCTATCCGCTTCTATGCCAAACAGAATATCATCTCCGCTAAACGCGAAATACGCTTCCGCCTTTGTCACGCCAAGCATTATATCATATCTGGAACAAGGTTGGCGAATGAACCTTTCTTTAGAAACAAAATTAAAAATGAATTCTTTTAAAACTAAAACATAATTGTATTCAAATACATGAAATAAACGGACAACGTTATTTTATTATGTACCTACAATGAAACAATTACATTTTAAACTGGTCATTATAAGATAAAATATTATTTTTTAGGTAAACGTTTCTGAAGTGTACCTTCCAGGAATTAGAGATTAATGTTGCTTAATGTTAACTGGTAGTTGTTTTTTTACAACATGTAAACCCGTTAATTATAGATTCAAAAATTCAATACCTAATAGGATATTAAAAGATATTATAAAATAACTTCATTATATGAGTAGGTACCTATATATTGGCTATCTGACTTACTTTGTAAGTTGATTAACAGCGCTTTCTCTCATAAGCACGGCGTTTATAATATTGACGGCTGTGGCCGGTTTCCCATGAAGGCCATGGGCCATTTGCCACTCGTATCCGGATTCTGGATTGCCCATCATATCACCGGTGTCTGTTGATAAAAAAGTAGACTACAATCGTAAACACTTGCAATGAAATACAAAGGCTTATAAACAATACATGGAAGCTGATCTTATTTTACTCACTAAAAATAAAATCTATTTCTTTGCATTGTTCCTATCGATATAGATACTCTATTGATTTTTCTGAAAACATTTTAAACTACTGAAGTTTAATCTGGCAATTACGATATTTAATAAATACTTAAAAAAACTGTCACTGATTCAGCAACCTCTTTCACGATATAAATAATGCCATTTAAAAGGTAATTATAATAATTAAATACTATATCAAGAGTAAAGGATAACGGGTGGACTCAGTATAGTACGAACGAGGAAGACCATTCGGGCGGTGGCAAGACGACGTCAAGGAAACTACTGGCGTGTTTTGGGAAATAAGCACAAATGGCAAAACGGAGTGATAGTATGGGGGGGGCTTTTACCGCAAAATGGGGACCTAACGTTCATATCCCTTGATTAATATAATATTACTATAAATAAACTGTAAATGAAATGTAAGTTTATTAAAAAAGTTTTTTATATAATTTTATTTATGTTAAATAAACTTGATTCGAATCTGCAACAGGTGTGTTAATATGAATCCTCATTCGTTGTTTATTACGTATAATATATTAATGTTATACCTTTCACATTCTTTCAATACTGTAAAATAATAACGTAATAAAACTTTAACGGTTTTAAACGTTATTTTATTATTTATTATATTTTTTTATTTATTTAAAAATATATATTAGTGGAACTTATATCAAAATTATTTTAATTACGGCCCCAAGTTTCGAATGCTTGGTTGCAGCCATGGTCACGGAGAGGGTGTCTCCCGTGTCCACCAATTACAAGATTTATTTACTCGCGTAAACTACAGACTATTAAAATAATAACTAATTCGAATTTCAAATGTACCTAACGTATTCTGTTCATAATTTAAATTGGTGTTGCCTAAGTAAAAATTTAGAAACAATAACTAACATATAGTACATAGAAGAATACCTTTTATTTTCAACAAATACAGTTTAAACAACTACAGTCGAACTTCGAATACGCCCGCGAAATAATTCAGTTTAACTTAGTGAAATTATCAAACAAACACCTAAAATATTAAAACTATATTGCGGTACAACCAATTAAATCTTCGCTTGCCGGCCTTAGCCACACAAAATTCGTAGTATAATTAGGAAAAGGAAATTTATTTATAACGCCGGAGTGTGGCTGAACACGATTATTTAATTAAAAATTCCATCAGTGAATTTAAGCTACTTTCAACTCGGGTTGGGATAGTACGTACAATTAAACAGAGTGAATTTATAATGTTCATAAGTTAGGTGTGGTTACAGGATACTTTAAAATACGCCGTTACAACTTTAATTTTAACCATAATAATTTAGTGAGGTTGTTTGCTTCGACCCTAACAAACAAAACAATTTAATGTTTATACATAGGAACGAAGCTACTTAGTTCTACAAATCAGAAGAATGATAATGTATCTTAAGAGACATTAAGTGCAAGTCAGTACAGTAAATATTATATGACAAATATATACATTTTAATACATCAAATTGTCCTTCATTCTCTAGAGCTTTTAAATAACTTTTTTTGTGTTATATTTACGCATTATGTATTTCTTCGCTTATTTTAATTTGTTTTTACTTTACTGTAAAAAGAAAGTACACGAACCTTAGGTAGGAGCCTAAGGTTCGTAATTCAATGCACCAATGTTGAAAAATTCTCGAATTTTTTGAAGATTAAAAAAACGCGGTATTCGAAACCATGACTACTTGCGCCATTTTTTTACGATCTAAGATATTTAATTTTAATGTCAAAAGTATTTAGTTTAAGTTTAATTTAATCTCAATACAATATATAATTATCGATTGTTAGTGTTAGCTACCCAATTTGATTACAACTCTATCAGAAACCGCGGTGTTAAACGACCCGAAAACTGTTTTGATGATTTGTTGTTGAAAACGATTTGTGTTTCGTATCAAATTTTTCCGATAAAAATGATTCCAGAAGTATGGTTATGTTTTGTCATGACGATTTGCCCTCTAATAAATAAAATATGAACAAATAAAGAAAACAATCCTAGGAACAAGAAATCTTTTGTTATGATAATATGCGTACGAGAGGCTGATTTTTATAAGCCGAAATCAAAGGAAGTACATAGTAATTGTCTCTGGCATAAAAAAAACGGAGTTTGGAAATCAAAGGAAAAAAATCTCCAACATACACGGCTTAAAACAACACGAGATGAGAAAACTTTCTGGCACAATTTAATAACGTCGGGACTCGGGGCGTGGTTATGTCAACTGAAGAATTTTGCGGACAATTGGTAAATCTACAACTATCAAGTACAGGCATGCCGCTGGAGCGAGAAATGAAAGCAGATAGTTGAATAGTTATTTACGTCTGGAAATGTTTCAAAATGGCAGCTTCGGAATTGCTAAAGAGTTTGTAGATGTTTGATGGATAATATAACTTATTCTTATTTACAATGAACTCCGAATTTATTGTTGAATATCATAAATGGAACCATGTGCCATATATAAAACAAATGATTGTTTTACGACTGACTGATGTGCTCTTACTTCGGTAAAATACCAAACAAGTTACGAAGAAAATGTCTACTATTTTGTAGTACATAGTGAAAACCTAAATTATAGAACTATACGAAATATTGAAGATCCTTTGATACAATTAATAACGTAAAATGTAAGTAGTTATTCTATGGAGAAGCTGATAGTGCTTAGATTTTAGAGCTTAAGAATGTTCTATTAACTGTAATATCGCTTTGATCACAGCTCGTGATCATCAAAGTGTTATGCATTTCCCTCAATCCTAAGACCTGTAAGCAATTCCTATCAAAGTTTCATATTAAATCCAACGCTATCTATAAATGTAATTGAATCGCTGCTAACTTGTAAACTTAGATCAATACCAACTTTATCAACGACGAGTTCGATTCCTTCACAAGCTCCTAGAATCGTTGTCGGCGAAATACTTTTACGTACAAGCAATTTGTCTTGATCGTTTGACAAGTTTTATTCCAGACGTAAGGTCTTCATTGGAGAACATTGCTTTTGTCGTAAAAATGTGTTTTGATTGACACTTTCGCTGATTGTGTACATGTGCGCTTATTAATATTACCAAATTTTATGGTAAAACAAACTATTTTATACTTTGGTATAACGTTAATAATTCGTAACTCTAATAAAACTATTAAGTTGTATACTAATAATAAACATGTTTAGTTTTAAATAAAACACTTTAACGGTTTAAAACATGGTATATTAGTTAAACTTATTTGAATATGATTTTTAACTTCGGCCCGACGTTTCGGAATCTTTGCATCAGCTCCCCGTGACCACGGCTGCTGCAAAGCATCCGAAACGTCGGGCCAAAGTTAAAAATCATTTTCAAATAAGTTTAACTAATATATCGCGTTTTAAACCGTTAAAGTGTTTTATTTAAATGTGTACTACTCGCGTAAACTATACTTTTAGTTTTATTACAGTATATATTTAGTTTTATTCAAAAAAAGATCAGAACAGATGTGTAATTAATATAAAGCCAAGTGCATTAAAATTTCTGAATGTTGATGATCTTTCTTTGTTTTATTTAAACAAGTTAACGCCATACGTTCTACGTAATATCAAAACAATTCTAAATAGCGCCGAAAGAAAAACAATATCACTTTGGAAACTCTTAAACAAAATACAATGTCCAACGCAAGGAGGTAGCTGAGAGGGTGGAAGTTTTGTGAAAATTCTCAAGTGTCGGATGGACAGCGCGTGACAAGAATTCTACGATACAGGAGTAATTCGGTTACGCTCAACTTTTACTGGATTACATCAGACCTTGTGATGAAAGTTAGGGATTTAAATGATACCGATTCAAGTAAATCAATACATATTACTTTCAAAATCATTATGGCAATAGACGAGACGAATTTAATTGTACAACACTGTGATTAATTAAAAAACAAATATGTATGTATTTGTAAAATTTAACACCAATACAATATTTATAAAACAGTGTTAATGGTTTAAAACTCAAAATATATTAAATAACTTATTATTAACCCCATCTGCTTTTAAAAGTGCTGCTGCTGGTAAGAGTGTTTTATTGAATTGTGCAATACTCGCGTGAACTAGAGATAAAACTTATTACAATAAATATTTAATACATAGGCTTTCGGAGAGAACAGTTATATTTTAAGAATTATAGTGACGTCATAAGTCCATATACGTCATATTCAAAGGAGAAACGAACTAAAATATTAGTTTTAACTCCTTTACAAATGTGTGATGAACTTTGTAATGACATATTTTATTTAATAACAAGTTTTTTTTAATGACAGCGACGGGCAGACAAGCTTGGAGTTCACTTGACGTGATAAAGCATCCAAACAAGATGCGCTGTCGACCTATTTTGGCTTTGGATATTCGGAAATCCACAGACTGAAGCCGAAACGCCATTAAGCTTCAGGGCTTTTCATCTGTGGACGGTGCCTACCATCCGTTTAATATCTAAATTTTCAGACGAAGTACACGATTTAGAAAAATTATAAATGGAAAAATTAGAAACATGTTGGGCCCGGTAGGGATTGAACCCAAGACCCGTAGATTATTAGCCGCACATTGCGACCATTAGACCAACGATCCAGTCAAAGTACATTCATTTCGATTTATAAAAGTAACAAGAAATCACAGATTGAATTCAAACTATCGGAATAAAATACAATTGTTTTTCTGATCGGACCCATTGAGAATCTGTAATGATTTTCACATTTCTCTGCGATGGTTCGCAACTTGCTCTGACAGGAAGTTTATTGAACAATGCTGGGAAATGTACATTTGGAATTATTCATTATTCACTTGTTTTCAAGACACTTCATTTAGTTCTTGCTGATTTCGAATCTTCGTCTTTGGTAGATTCCTCTGTTTCATTATTCGCGTTTTGACTACTCTTGATTTATTACTATTGTTCATATTCTATTTACCAAAATTAAAATTGTTTGTTCATTTATTATTAAAATTATTTTTTTAATAAGTTATAACTAAATATTTCCTGTTTCAGTTTGTGGTTGTGTACTGGTACAGTAAACTAACACAGGAATAATTCTTGTCAACTTGTTTGGCTTCCTCTTATTATATCGCCTGGTTTTTTATCCAAACAATGACTTGACTGATTCCGTTATTCAATAATTAACAGCGAGAAGTCGTGGTCTCGAATCCGGGGGTAATATCTAAATGTGTTTCCTTTCAGCAAGCTATAGAACTTCGATATTTTGTTTGTAGGGCATCGATTGAGAAACAGGCAGATAATTTGTTTGTCCCATGCTCCACATATGGTAGATTGAATTCTATTTTTACTATTTTTATAATATATGTAAGTAAGTATAATTATATACGAGTAGGTACTAACCTATAACAACGCCATCCACGCTAGGGCCAAAAGCATACGAAAAGTCCGGTGCTTTGACAGGTGCTGATAATAATGTCTCCAGTGGCCGTTCTCTCAAACAGCGCAGTAGAGCTGGTGGAGTCAAATCTGTAATGAGTGTATTTATGTAGAAAATTTTAATATTTTCAAACTTATAACGTCCTGGTAAATCTTTTTTGTTAACGGATGAATGTCTATAGAGAGACGAAAGATAATACGGGTCTTTGATGTGATAATAACGGAACTTTATACTTTAATGTGTCCTAATGCCCTGGTAAGCTAAATTGAGATTAAATTTCTCATAGTCTTTTAAAGTATAAATTATGGAGACAAAAAGAATTTTACAAGGAAAACAGACACTTTTTTGTGACATTAAAAACAGATTATAAGTTAATTATCATAGATTATAGAAAATGCATATAAAATTAAACCCCACCCACCTTCTGTTATCTATTTCTAATACTATATCACTGATAGTAAAGTGAGTACCACGTTACAATAAATTTACTTGGTATGCCAATGAATACAGAAATCATTCTATATTGTTTAACATATTATACACAAGATGAGCTTAATTTTAATTTAACTTAAAACACTTTAAACAATTGAAAACGCAAAATGTCTTAGTTAAATTATTTTTAACTACAAACACGAAATGCCGTACCATAGCTTAAAATAAATTTAAATATTTTGTCAACTGCATTTCAGCTATCTAAAAGAGCCTTTTAGTTTTCAATGGAAGTTTGTTTTTTCATAAACAATGTTAACCCGATGTTCGGAGAGCTTTCCAGCAAACCTGGTCACGGAGACTGAAGAGGTGGCAGATGTCCTAGATGACAAGTGACGCGCATAAACCGCTACGTTAACGCCATTTATTTTTCCCGCGCATTTTCAGGAAAAAATCAGAGCTAAATATAAATAACTAGGATATCGCAAATCCGGTTTTAGAAAAAGCTTGCATTTTACATTGTAGTCGTATTTAAAATATAAAACCATTTTTATGTATGTAATATAATTATGTAATGTTGTTGTAATAATAATGCTCTCGAATTGTATGATTTTATTTGTAATGCCAGGATATATTTAAACAAAACACTTTAACGATTTAAAACGCGATTTATATTAGTTAAAATTATTTTTAACCACGGCCCGACGTTGCGGTTGTTTTGCAGCAGCCGTGGTCACTACACACATTTAGTGACCTACTGACGGCAGGATATATTTGTGTGTAAGGAAATAAATAAGCTATTTTGATGACGACTCGTGAGTAAAACTGTGTTATAAATAAATAGTAGAATTGTATAATCAAAGTTGTAAACAGAGATAATTTTTGATAATACTATATTTAAATATTAAATTATATAAATATATACATTTTTAATTATATACATTTTATTAAAATTTATACATTTTATTCGTTTATAACGTATGGATGACCTTATAAAAAATTACCTGGAGAGCAGTTGGAGTGAGTAGCTACAATTGCAGCGTACTTATTTGGATCTGCCACGAGTGACCAGGGACTGAGTCCAGAACCAGACATCAAGATGGCTCTGTGGAAGAGGAGACCTGCAACAAAAGAATACTTTTAGATACCAGGCGAATATAATTTAGCAAGAAGTAAGCATACTGAATAGCTATTAGTAACTACCATTGTATAATATTATTAACACTTTATTTTTAATATGGAGTGCAATGGACTTATCACTAAAGCTATCTCTTCCAGACAAGAAATAAAAAGAAAGTTTACGGGAAAACGAGATGTGCAATTATTTTCTTAGTATATATAGTATTTCTATTTGTCAAAAGGTATGCTCCTCAAACGCGATACAAAAATGAGCTTCTTGGGTTTTGAGTTGTTCGGTTAATAATAAGAAACATGATTTTCGATGAGGAGGAAAATAAAAACTGCGCAACTAAGGCAAAAATGCATTTAACAATTATTTGTGTAAAAATTATGTTACACTGTGAAAATATAATAACTCAAGTCATAAAGTTAGGCTACTCTGCCTCTAGCGGTCTCATATAACAGTTTAACGAAAATGTAATGTTCCCTATTTTAAGTAAAAGATTTCTAAATAATTTCACGTAAGTAATCCAGAAGTGATTCAGCACGTCTTCATTCTCATATTCGAGAACTCGGGTTAAGTACTAGACTTTCTTTCTAGCGGATTTCCTTCACTCGCTTAGAAGCGTCGTGCCTTGAATTTTTGTAGAAAATGTAGTCTAGTTTCAATATAATAAACTTGTACTTTCGAGAAATCTTTTTTGAAATAGTTTCTTGGTTGTCTTTGTCTTTGCACTACATAAATTGGGGTCAGTATGTAGATGTTCCTATTTACTTCACAGAATGAAAACCTCTTTGAACCTTTGAAAGAGCGACTATAAATTTCACTTTGCTCTATTTCTCTACATTGTCTTTGTATCATTAACCGATACAAAGTGATACTTAATTACTGCCTTTAGTTTTTTTTAATAACATTTTTGAATGAAACACTTTTAACGGTTTCAAATGCGAACTACAACTGAAAACAATAAAAAATAATTAAAATAATGTTTGTTAGGTGATTTATAAAAGCTATCATGTGCAACAACATGTGAACGTGTTAACAACGACCCGACATTTCTAATATATATTTTAAACCGTTAGTGTTTTATTTAACTGTTTACTACTCGCGTAAGCAACAGACAGTATTTGATTTCAAATATGTTAATTTTGGGCACTTAGGAAAAATTTGCAAGAATAAAGTATATCACCTTATACATACGTTTACTTAGTTTAAGAGCATATGAGTAACTTATTGCCTGATTCTTTATGGAAAAACAGATATAATGAGATATACACGTCATGCAAACATTGCGTCTACAAATACATTTATCTCGTCAAAGCAAAAAGTCCTTAACTTCGCTACTTATTTTGAAATGCAAGCGCTTTTCAAATATAGTTGGCTGAATGAATATTTAATACGCTCTGCGAGTATAAAAATTCGTGTAGAATATGAGTTTTCATACGAAGCGAATACTATAATATGGTTTTTGTTTTTATTTTATTGCATTGAATTATGATGCCAATTTATCATGTGCAAATATATGTATGTAATAGCTATGCCAGCGACTTCGTCCGCTTAGAATATTGGGCATCAAAGTTTAGCTATGCTTAAGGATAAAAGTAGATGGAGGGCTGTTAAAAGACTTCTGTGAGGACGTATTTGCTTTTAAAGAAAGTGATGAGCGGGCCCGAGAAATAGGTCCTTTGGCCTCAACCGTTTGGTCTGGTCGCAACCGTTATCAACCTTTGTTTAACTGCGCACAATCATGAGTTTAGTGGGTGTGAGTCCCACACTCCCTACACCACCACCAGCCCTGGAGTAGGGGTGCATAATGCATTTTCCCAGGTAAAAAAGGCCATCAAAGTTTCAGGAACAAACAAACAAACAAACTCTTCAGCTTTATATATTAGTATAGATTTTTTTATAATAGAGAAGGACAGACAAGCGTGGAGTTCACTTAATGGAAGGTAAAATAGCCCAGCAAACATCTCGACCTATTTTGGGTTTGGATATTCGGAAATCTGCACAGAAACGCGATTAAACTTCTCTGCTTTTTCATCTGTAGATAGTGGTTTGTGATCTGGACGGAATTTCAATATTTCTACCACCCATGTTGCGGAAAATGTTTAAATTGATTAGAAACATGTTGGGCCCGACCGGGATCGAACTCCAGACCCGGTGATGATTCGCCATACATTGCTACCATTAAAGTAACTTTTTTTAAAAACATTATAGCTATTATTATTTTTACATTACTTATACATTAACATTGTAAATAAATGGTAGAAATATCAAAATTACATCAGGGTCACGAACTACCTTGCATTGACGTATAAATTTTCTAATTGTGTATATCTAGTGTCCAAGCTTCTAAAAGGTATGCAATACGTATGTTTACTTTACTGGTTTTTTTTCAACGGATCGAACCAAGACCCCATACTAACGCAACCTCCATCTATGCTACTGGCTCATTCAACATATGTTTATTAAAAGAATCCTTATATTATTAATAACATCAACAAAATAACACATAATAATTGTCGCGCATATAAAAACTTTAATAATATTAGTTGGCCAACTTTTAAAATTAAGTCTCTGGAGTGTTTAAAGTTTCGGTTTGCTGTTTTTACATATTATAATTAAAAGTTGTCTGCGGCTGACATAAATCAGAGTTTTATTATCGAATGAAAAAGTTAGGTGTTTGAATAATGGATGGAGAGACCGCAATATTAGATTGCTAACAACCGTCGGTAATTACATCTGTGATGAGCGGTTTGACAATAATGTGCAAATCTATTATAGAAGTAAAACCTTTTTCTCTATGGTGGGTAAAGAGCAGACACAATTGTAAACCTATTTCACTAATCGCTTTTATTTACAGCAAATATTTTATCAGAATAATGTGTCTTGTCCGACCGAAATTATTATGACTCTCCGATTTGAACTCAGATCTCCACATCACGCAATGAGGATAACCATTGTGTTGTGGCGGCAAACAATATAAAAAGTACAATAACAAGTCAATATTTTCGGTGGCATTGATTTTCATTCAATCAATGAACTAATGGAGTGATAGATTATGAAAAACATCGCCTATTTCAGGTATTTTTTATTTTACCTACCTCGTGTAAACTATAGACATTATTTAATTAAGTAATTATTTGGTACTAGACACTTTTGCCGCGTTTGACTTCACGATTTATCGTTTGATTCTGGGAATCAAAAAGGTCATTAACCTCTAGGCTACAAAGACTATGTACGCTTATCAAAATATTTATTTCCACTTTGTCAACAAATTCATGTGTCGTTCGCGCGTGGTATTGGCATGCAATGTTCGTTTTTCGTCGGTCAGCTTTGTCCAGTTTTACGTATTAAGCAAACTGTATGAATATTTTCCACAGTATGTCAATATTGCATTTTTGTTGATACTATGTCTGACTAATGCTTACAACGACACCTACTATAGTCTATACAATAGTGTAGAGGTAATTAGTATAACACAATTATCTTCGCTAAGGAGTTTATATTTTTCGTATTTAAATTCCCAATTTGACGGGCTCGTGGCTGTAATGGTAGCAACTTAAGGCTAAACTGGGCATAAAATGTTCTAATCACTTTATCATTTTTCTATAACATGTTGGACCTTGTCTCGAAATCTAGATATTAAAAGAGCGGTAGGAATATCGAAATTTCGTCCGGTCACAAACCTCCATCGACAGATGAAAATCTGTGAAGTTTTGGATTCAGTCTGTGGATTTTCAAAGATAAAATAGACCTATTTTAGATTTTAAATAGCTGGGGTATTTCATTCATTTAATTTAATTTATATCAAGTAAACCCTATGCTAATCTTGTATATATATCATTAAAAATCCCTTTACACCTACTATTTAAACGAATTTATTTTGACGAAAAAATATAAAATCTATAAGATACTTGACGTATCATAAACTGCCATCTAGCGTTCGTAACTGACAACAAAAACTTTTAAAATATAGTTTGAAGTTGGGAAATATTTGCGTAGTAAGTTCTAAGTATTGTCGACAGAAATAGTTGAGCGCCCTTTTCGTTGCGTGGATGTGGTCATACTTTAGCTTATCAAAATGACCTTTGTGGGTAAAAGTTTGGAACTCCAAGTAATCCAAACTGCAAATACTTTCTAGTTTCGCTTAAACTAACACTAGCTACCTCTTCGAAGAACAAATAAAGTGACGTTATAGCTTTGTTTGGAATCGTCGGTGTATTGGTAGCAATGTATGTGTAATAATCAACGGTCCTAAATGGTCAAAACCTGGTTTGATCGCCACTGGTTCCAACATTTTTCTAATCAATTTACAATTTTTCTGAAACAGACTTCGTTTCGAAATCTGGACATTAAATAAGTGGTAAATATATATATATATATAATAGTTTCAATCTGTAGATTTCCAAATGTCCAAAGCCAAAATATGTCCAACGCCCCTCTCGTTTAGATGGTATGGTGTCCTTCTCTATAATAAAAATAAATATTTACTGTGTCGATTTTGATTATAGTTACAGATAAGTGAGCGAAGCCGTGTGCCCTGTCTAGCCGAAAATAAAATCGTGCGTTTCCCAGATTCAAACGCAGACCCTCTTTTGTTCAATTCAATGTGTTAAAACTAGTGAAGATAACTGAAGTACAAATGAAAGGGTTGTAATGTTTAGCGTGGTTTGGATTATGATATTTTGTTATCCTATGTGAACATTCTTTTGGGATAAAAGGCTTTTACGTAGGGACGTCTTATATCTGGCCAACCACGATGTAAGTCTTTGTGTCCTAAATTACATACAATTTTACGTGAAGGCGTCAAATTAAGAAATCGTAACTTATAATTTAAAACGTAACCTGTTAACTTTTATAAATTTTTTATTAATTATTACTATATTAACTTTAAAAAAAAATAGCTTAGTATTAGTTCTTATATCTAAGATTATTGAAGAGTATTAATTAAAAATTATTCATGTTTATCTAAATAATATTTAAAAAACATCTTGAAACTACATGGTGAGACAAATGTCACCAATCGAACTCCGATTTAATATATGACTGACAACATAAAACTACATAAGTAATAATCTATCATATTTATTAAGATTTCTCCGGAGCGTTTAATAACGAGAGCTCCTAGGTTCAAATCCCGGCGAAGCAAAAAATTGTTTCGAATGTATATAGAAGTCAGATCAACTTAACGTACCTGTAATTGTTATCAATCAGTGAAAATTTTTTCGCAACATGCTTCTAGGAGATTTTTTTGTTTAAGTTTAAGGCAGGGCACAGAAGTCTGATCAACTACTTGCCTGTTAAAGAACGGATCAGTGAAACAGACACAAAAATGTGTTTGCCCCATGCCCCACGAGGGGGAAACGGGACTTCGCTTTTACATAAAAAGAGCGTTTAGGGGGACTGAACAAATCAGAAATCGATGTACATTTGCTACAAGTTCCCTATAGAGAGTACATAATTCACAAAGAGGAATTGTAAATTCCTAGGGATAGTACAAAATGGAAAATGTAGTGCACCCCGAATGCCTTTGGGTTCTATCGCAACAACTAGGTCAGAAAAAGCGGAGAAATCAGAGGATAGTTTGCATATTCATGGCTAAGAATCGAATTTATCATAGGCTTACACCGATTGGATGAATAAAACATTATGGAGGAAATAATATTAAAAAATCCCGCTTTCCTTGTATGAGACATGGAGAGACGTATTTGTTTTATTTTATCATCATATCGATCAGACGAAAGCTTTCTTACCGACAAACTTTATTTTATTTGTAACCCTTATTGATGCTTCCATCAAACTTTCCGATTTGCCCAATCAAAAAATATAAACGTAATGTACGTTTTCGTTTTCGAAATATTGTTTTTTTCTTGATAGAAAAGAACAGACAAGTGATTCACTTGATGGAAGGTGAAATATTCCAGACATATGTCTTAAGATACGCAATTGATGTGCATTGGGAAACCGACAGACATAAACCAAAATGTTATTATATCTACTTCGACTATTACATCTTGGACGTTTTGTAAACCAGATCGAATCTCAATAGGTATTCCTACCATCCATTAAATATCCCGCTTCTTAACGAAATCTCACATATTAAAAAAAGCATGTTTAAATTCGTCGATTTTAGTCATATACTAATTCGCAAAGATGTAATTTCTAAACAAATTACGCTTATTCATTAAGATAACATCACCAACAGAACTAAGATTAAAAGAAACACAGTACAAATAAATAAAAGCGGAATCAAGAATAATCGATATATTTGAATATTCATTCCCCGATTTGATGTTATCGAAAAATGGACTAAAAAATTCTAAAACGCCCCGGCCGGTTGTAAAATAAATGAGAATTTGAAACGTAAACTATGTTTAACGGGTTGATTCAGAGATAGTAGCGCTATGTCTACTAAATGCAATTTTGCCCACCGATGAAATATTGCATATTTATTAAGTGTACAACAAATAAAACTTCACTTTTGACTACTTAAATGATTACTAACATTAATTCAACAAAGATAATATAATATTTGGAGAAAGTCTGTTATTTCTTATATTATTAATTATATTTTCTTATAAATTGTTTCATATTATATAATTTTAGAAAAACTAATAATTAACGAATTATTCGATAATGGAATAAACAAAACGATTCTGGATTATCACCTTTATTGTAGAAGATAATATAGTAAAATTACAACTCTTTTAGCTAGCATACATTTTAGTAAGTATTGTTTGTAGTTTGCGCGAGTAGTACACATTTAATCGGTCAATCAATTTTAACGGTTCAAAACTGATGACTACTAACCGATGACTGAGCCATCTGGCTCCTTATAATTTCTCTAAATTCCACCTACAACGAAAACAGATGGCGCTAGAGTAAAAAAAATACTTTGACAATATGGGCACCATCCGTCTTCACCGGAACGTCGGGTCGTAGTTAAAATAGATAGTGAATATTTTAACTAATATATTTTGCGTTTTAAGTCATTAAAAGTGTTTTATTCAAATACCTATAGTGATTATTTATATTCGATAAGAAAAAAACAAGATTTTAGATGTTAAGAGGAGCCAAGTATTACTTAAAATTAATTAAGTCAAGTTTTAGAATCAATAACGTTAAACAAGGCCGAACCGTCTTTTAACATAAATAATAGAGAGCTTGTAGTAGACAACACAGCTAGTAAATATCAGCTCTCCAATTTAAATATCTTTTTACCCATAAAACTTATTGCATAGGAAAAAATCATTGCTACATTAAGTATTCAAAAAGTTTTTAGATTATTTCTTTCATAACCTATTTACGACTTTATAAAAACGAATGTTTCTGACATTTGCTTAGTTAATCTAGAAATAGTTTTTGCTTTTTATGAATAGACCTCTCTAGTTGAATGGTTAACCACCGCACAGATCTGATCTGAAACATATTTGCAAATCCAAAAACTATACGGACACAGGAATACGGTCAAATTCCAAAATTGTTTTCGTTTTGGTTAGAACATACATTGAGGTTTTAGGCTATATCACGCTGCGATCAACCGGAGCGAAGAAATATGGAGAAAAGAAAAAAGTGGAGGAAAATGTTCATCTTTGAGGGTTTCCGTTGCGTGTACTTCAAAAACCGTTTAAAGTAACCAAAAAATATGTATATAAGAATGATTCCCTTTAAATTATCTAAAAAAATGTCTGTTACGGGATATTTTTTAGGATTATTTTGTAATAACAACGGACAAGACGTCGTGGGTAAGAGTTATAATTATTAAAGATGAGGAGGAGGTTTGGAAAAACAATTCTACGTGGATGAGATTGCTAGCACAGCTAGTATATGGATAATTCAAGCTCTTACGTCACGCTAGTCATAAAACAGCGAAATGAGCTAGTTGTTTTTCACAAACTGTGGTGCAACTGAGTCAGGAGTGTTTCGGCGCAAAATTATAGCGGAGTGCTTTACGAGGAACTACGTGGAAAGCTAAAACAAGAGCTATCCGTTTTTGAGATGTTTTTAGACTAGTTTTGCTTTTAACTTCACCTGGTTTTATAACCGGATTACACAGATTTTTTTGTGAGTTCAACGTTGATAAAACTAGTTATTAGTGACTAATGAGGGATGGAGGGAGAAATATTTTAAATTTGGATGCACCCTTATAAGATGGAAAAGACAATAACAAAACTGTGGTACTGGATGACAATAAATCGTCTGTTATTTTAAATTTATTTTTTAAAAGCGGATTATTTTATAAATAGATATTAACACATTTGTATTGTTTTTTATTTAAATGATAGAAAAAAGTATAAGGTTATTGATGGCAGGTGCAAGGGTATTGCCTGCCATGTAACATTTACACGAAGCAAACAAATGTAAATAAAATCTTATTTACCTTCAGGAACAGCTAATGAAGTAAGCAAGAAGTGCACACAAGCTGCGCCAGTCCCATGGCCCATCAAGGTTACATTTGTGGGGTCTCCACCGAAGACTGCTACATTTTCCTTGATCCAGTGGAGGGCTGCTATTTGATCCATGATCCCGTAATTAGCAGGGGATCGCGGGAAATCATCTGAACGGGGGTTCAGGAATCCTGTTGAAAAAAAAAAATCAATAAGTACCTACGACAAATATCCTTACAATATCAACTGACTAATATCAAATAAATATATAACAGGCCGCTAGAGGTCAAGTTGCCTAACTACAATTTTATGACTAGAGTTATCATCTACAAGAGCACAGTGACCGAAAATTGTTAATATAATTTTTACACTACAAATATATCAGTTATTCATTTTCATTTTTTTCTTATAAATAATATTTTGTTATTAACACTCTATTAGAACTTATATTTTTTTTTGATTTATATTAGCAATATATGGCTGTCTACGGTACGTGGCTTAGATCGTCACCGGCTCACCGGCAACATGTTTCTAATATTATTTTTTTTAACATGTCTGGATTAATTGGAATTTAATTTGGGAATAGGAATGTCGTCCGACTGGATCACGAACCACCGTCCACAGATGAATCCGTGAAGTGTAATGAAGCGTTTAGGATTCAGTCTGTGGTTTTCCGAACATAAAAAGTACATACCATATTTGTGTCTTCTTCTATTATAAAAAAAAGTTTACACGAGTAGTACAAATTTAAATAAAACAGTTTTAACGTTTAAAGCGCGAAATATATTAGTTAACTTATTTAGATTATTTGTCCGTCCCCCCGGACCACAACCTTATTTTATTATACTTCGCAGCATAATAAAATAAGCTAACATTAATATTTCGCATTGTAAACAGTTGAAATTGTTTATTTGAAAGTAATGTACATAACTTGTTATATTAATCCGACGTTATAATGAAGGACGAAAAATAAAACTAAAACGATACAATGTTATCTGTTAAAACGTGTTCTTATATAAAAAATATAGATTATTGTTCAAGAAAAAATCTATAAATATATTTGCTATACATATTCATTTGCTTAAAAGGGATTTTTATTAACTTTTTTTGAGTAACAAACTAAATTCGATTATCCTTTATTTTCCACTCTCGCTCCAAGAGATACAAGCTTTGTTATTATAACAAACACCCTTTACATAATCTGAGCGATAAAACGGTTTCATAAAAGGCAAAAGCGACGGAAATTAAAATCTTCAGAAGCTACAGAATTTAATGGCCTCACAAACGCGGCCACGTGTCGCGACTGTCAATGGGAACGATTCTAACATACTGAAATAGGAAGGCTTCAAATTTCATTTTACACAGGTGCTATCCAACACCTGCCTGTGCGTAGGAGATCAGAAAGCATTTTCTGAATACTTACATTGTTTTAATCAATAACCTATATTTCAAATACTGTCTGTAGTTTAAGCGAGTTGTACATTTATATAAAACACTTAGCGATTTAAAATGTTAACACCTGAATTTGGCACCTCGCGTGTTAACGTTGTTTATAAAATATAGATAAATAAAACACTTTGATTTGTTTGAAAATTACTTTAACTACGGCCCGACGTTTCGAACGCTTTGCAGCGTCCGACACAGGGAGACGACATTGTAATTTTTTGCTATGACAAGTCTCCTTGTGACAATGATCACCTTTGTCTGTGAATTAATAAGTAAATAGTCATTGTATTGTCATGAAAATTTATTATTCATTAAGTAATCCAAGCCTATTTATATTGGAGAGTTATAGCACAAGCAAGCCTAAAGTCAATTAATGAAGCATTTTTAAAGATAAATTATCATCTTGATTTTTTTCATTATTTTAAAAAACTTTAACTTTTACGTAAATAATGGTATAAAACACGAAACTTCACGAAAGTTTATTCAATTACGAACCCTCGAGTGTAAATGTGTGCTACTCGCATATACTACATACAACACTGTATCCTTATACATCTTTCTATTATCTATACTATATAATAAAAGGCTAAACAGTGATTGTTTGAAAGCGCTAATCTCGAAATTTATGAATAGATATTTTTTTTTTGTTAATTAAAGCATTTATTGAGAAAGGCTTTGGACTATAAAACAACAGGAGATAAGAAATGTGCAAAAAAATAGAGAAAATTATATCTTTGAGGATTCCCCTTGCGTGCGCTACAAAAGCGGTTCAAGATACCCGACTATGTAAGAAAGAATGATTACACCCTAAATGATCTAAAAAAATGTCCACCACAGTATATGCCAATTTTTTTAAGATTACCATACTAGGAACGATATTAAGTTTTTTCAAAATAATTATATTAGAGTAAATAGGATTTTACTTTTACACCCTTGATATATATATTTTGATTACGTACATCGTTGAATGTACAGCTACTAGAGGGCGCTGCTTCCTGGTTCGTGTCTTTGAAAATGCTATTCTCAACAAATAAGTATCTCTTTTTCCGCAAACAATTTAGCCCCAGCTCCGATTCGGCCTTGCTCGAAATTGCGGCATAAACAATACAATGTTGACATTGCTTAAATGAAATGGAGATTCCATTCCATAAAATAACAAGTAAGCGATTACGTAATTACCCAGTACTGTTTAAATAACCCGAAAACAAAGGAGTATCCGAATAGATTGCTTGAGATACAATGCGTCATATATGTTTGCGTCGATATAGTAGAATACCCTTATATTCTGTCTATTAAAGCTAATTTATTATATTATCATATATTTTGCTACGTAATTAGTCTGTTTGTTTAACACACACAGGTGTCGCTAGATTTATCACATTTTTGTATTAATGTGGCTTGAAAGGTTAAGGAGGATGTTCGCAAAATTGTATTTAAATCTGCTTAGAAGTTTTAGCACAGCAATGATTTTTATAATAATATTAAGCGAGATGTTGTATTTATAATAAATATCTAACAGCTTTGAAAACTTCAATATTTTTCACATGAAGGTAGAGCTTTTGCTCTCGAGCAACAGTACGGAACGCTGACGGTGCCGGTTCAAGTCCTGCCCGAGTCGAAATTTTTATTCAATTTATTTTCGATTTTTAAGTTAATTATAGCTTGTTAGTTATACGCTTTAATAAAAAAATGATAAAATTTTCGAAACAAATGTACTACAAAGCTATTCTAGTACATTAAATAATGTATAGACGTTATTTAATTTATAAAATATGTTTACGCGAGTAGTACACATTTAAATAAACGCACTGTAACGGTTTAAAACGCGATATAGAGTTTAACTTATTTGAAAATGATTTTTAACTTCGGCCTTTCATTAGTATAGTTTCAAGACAGTATACTTACTAGTACTCAGTACTAGTAGTACAGAAAACTACTTTTCGAAAACTCAAATTGATAGGTAACAAGCCTCGTAGATCGATAGGGTACGGTTCAATTTGATAAATTAATTAGAAGCAGTATACAATTGCAGACGTCGAATGGCGGGAAGTTTTCATTTCGTCTAATGTTACCTCCTTTCCTTACGTACTCCTTGACTATCTCAGTTGATGAAAAAAGTGATATTAGCTTTCTAAAACGTAATTCAAAGTAATATGGCAGCCCACGCGAATACTTCACGTCGCTGTCTAACCGACAATTTTGACGAAGTTATGTGAATTTTAGATAACTCTCGGTTGTCAAAGGGATGCCAGGATGCGAATATTTTGAGACCCCACGATTCTTAACCTTCTACAGGAGGACACAATAAGAGTGCGTCGAACAAAGATTTCTTGTTTTCTTAAATAATTGAGAGGTATTGCAAATCTCAAACCCATGACCCACTGAGTAGCTAGGGTTTTGTTCTATGATTTTGCAAAGATATTGTTTGATACGTTATAAATATCATTATTATAGCTTTATTAATAAAAAAGGCGGCCTTATCGCTAAGCAGCGAACTCTTTCAGGCAACCTGAAGTACAGGAGATAACAAATAGAAAAATACTTATGAAGTGTGTAGTTGCAAGGAATAACAAAAAAAATTGATTCTATAATATTTGTTCTCTTTAAGATTCACGTTTATAGTGAATGACGAATTCTAAAAATGTTTCATCAATTAAAACATTAACTAAAACTTTACGCTTTCGTAGAACTTAGGATACAAATCTAAACCTAACAATATAACTGATACTAACTTGCAACTTTGATTAATTTGTAACAACAATTTCGATATTATTTATCATTTTCGACGGAGTCGTTAAAGCGAAAGTAATTTATAAGTGTAATTATTTTGAATTATTGAGTTATCTACAACTTTCTAAGCAGTGGACGTGCCACGTCAGAGGGCGTTACTGGATCAACTTATTATTTCCAAATTGTTTTCAATCGAACCATGAATATTAATTTCCCCAAAGTTGTCGGCGCAATTTCCTCACTGAATTTGTATTTATTCACAGCAAATAATTGAATATTTCCTCCTCAGTCTGACTTTTCAGTAATTCCATTAAATATTATGTCATGATATAATTACTCAAAAAGATTATTCAATCTATTTGATATTTAAATAACAATTATTCTATATTATTCAATCATTTGTTACATTATTATATTTTAAACGATTTACATATTTAAATAAAACACTCAACGTTTTAAACTGCGATATACATTTGTTAAACTTATTTGTAAATAATTTTAACCACTCGTCAAATACCTAAAGAGGGCGCTAGCGTAGCATTTTTTTACTTTGACGTCAGACACCCGCCATTTTTATTCTCCCTGTGACCATTGCTGCTGCAAAGCATCCAAAACATCAGGCCGTAGTTTAAATAATAAAATAAAATATTTTCAAATAAATTGAACTAATATACATCGCGATTTAAACCGTTAAATTGTTTTATCTAAATGTGTACTACTCGCGTAGACTTCAGATACGATTTCTATAACCACTTCTGTAATATTACTGTATTTGGTTTAACTACGGAAATGTTATGCAACATTTTAGTAAAGCTGTATGATGCTAAGTTTTATAAACTAATGAAATGTCAAACACACACCGTGTCAAACCAACCGTCATTGTCGGTATTTAAAGCTCGTTGCAAGTAGATTTAACTAAAGTAAATTAATATTTTAATTTACATATTTTTAGTTTTTTTTTAAATTAGTTTACATATTTTTTCCTACATCAGTACATTGTATACTAATTTGCTGATGGCAGAACCCTTTTTACTAGATCTAGAATCTAGAATATACTGAATGATATTAAATTACTTCGTATTGAGTGATTTATGTTCTTAAGTTCAATGTCAATTATACGGCTATTTAAATATTGTAACGAATTACTGGTGGAAAATAAATACTGTTTTTTTTCTTAATTCTGTGTGTATTTAATCAAGGGGGTGTCTAGAACTTAATAGGTGGGAAGGTAGAGGGTTTTTACTATTAGGTTTAAATATCTGTGTGTTCTTACAATATTACCAGATACACCGGTTATATATAAGTATACATAGGCTGCTACAGGCAGCTTGCTTTTAACGAAATTGGAAGTATTATAATGTCATTGTTTTTCAACCCAGAATAATATTACTGAAAAGCCTGTCACTCTCGACAGTAGCATCTCTTTGATTCAAGTGCTTGTATAAAGCATACTTAAATAAAAAGCGTTTTTAAATTTTAAAATTTGAATGAAAAATTCTTTCATCTTAACTTTTTTCAAGCGACTTCACATATTTCTGCCTCATAAATATTCATGGCGAAATCTATTTTTGCGGTGTTTGTTGTAAAATGTGGGACGTTTGTTTGAACTTTAATCCTCTGTTTAAGTCTCACGTGGATTTTAAAGCGAAATTGTATTAAAAGGTATCTAGACTCGAATCTTTAGACGACATGAAAAAATATGTAAAACATGAAAATTCTTCGCTGAAACACATTTTCTTTGTAGTTGCTTAATGAAAATGGAAATAAAACTCTTTCACCCAAAAGAAATAACAACGAGAAAATTGAAAACAACGTTTATTACGAAAACATAATGTCATAACAGACGCGCAACTCAATGAATATAACTGTTAAGGGCACTTCAGATGTGTTAAATTTGAGTGTCTTCGCGTTTTCGGAATTAGATGTCGTGTTTACTGGCAATTTCATTTCGCCTAAATGACTCTAAGTGTGGTGTTTAAGTTACTAAACACTGTCTTTGTTTGGAATTCGGTAATAGACACTGAGCTTAGGTGGTCATAGCACCAACACGGAACGCTATGATTTCTTTAAATCTAGTCAATTTTTAATTTAATTAAATACTAAGTAGTTACATACTTAACATAAGAAAATTGTAAGATTTTTAAATCTTAATAATTATTATCATGTAATCATTCAAGTATGTACACCTTACCTACACTTTATATATATTATTATTAGGTTTCCTTCTACTCGGGTTGCCTGGAAGAAATCGCTTAAAGCGATAAGGCCGCCCGGTACACTCTATAGTTTTTGTGTTTTTAAGTGTAAAATAAATAAATATAATTATTATACAATAAAAGTTAAATCTTAAATAGCTATTAATATACAACATTATATTAAGTAATACGTGAGTCAACACTAGGCCTGTTCAATTTCACAAAATGAAAGTAAAAGCTGAAGTAGCCGAATTTTTATTGAATTAATAATTCCCCAACAGCGTACCTTTTATGTGGAACAAAAAATTCTATTATGAAGTCTGAACGAAACAATTTGTTCCAATAATAATCTCAATAAATACACGCCCGAAAGTTAGGAAAGTTTTTAAAGTTCTAAATTATTGTTTACAGGACTTATGTTTACAAGATTTATGTTGATGAAGCTTTAAGAAATATTATTTTGCAGTAAGCAGATTTCTATTCTCTTATATATATTTTTGAATTTGATAAACACACTTACATGCATAACTAATTAAAGAATTTGTTCGCACGTTGACGCACGCATGTGTGACTTATTTAAAGTTTAAATTCATTATTATTTACAAAGAGTAAAGTTCTGAGCCCAACTATAAGACGTGACTAGACGTTCATTTAACTGACTGTTTTTAAACTCTTTCAGACTGTGTAAACTTTTTAAGATTAATTGTGGCCTAAGAAAGATAAAAAGGACAAGATTTAGCATAACATTATCTTTTAAATAAAACACTTTAACGGTTTGAAACGCGATATATTAGTTAAACTGATATGAAAATGATTTTTAAGTCTCCCCGTGACCACGGCTGCTGCAAAGCATCCGAAACGTCGGGCCGAAGTTAAAAATCATTTTCAAATAAGTTTAACTAATAAATCGCGTTTTAAACCGTTAAAGTGTTTTATTTAAATGTGTACTAATCGCGTAAACTATAGACAGTATATAACATTTAATACAACTGTAATGAATTTAAAGTCTATATGAAAATGGGACTCGGAGAAATACGGGACATTACGTTCTTCGTGTTATTTTATTCTCTTATATGCAAAATTATATAATGTATACTACAATAATCTATACTCTTGTACAACTGAAAAATTTGAACGGATCTCAGGTACTACTGGTTCGAAATAAAAAAATCTTGATACTCTATTTATCAAGGAAGGCTTTAGGCCGTTTCACATCGTTTCACCAGTAGGTGCGAAGAAATAGTGAAAAATGTTGAATAAAAAGTATTCATCTTCAATGGCTAACGTTGCGTACACTGCAAAAACGTGTAAAGAAATATGACAAAAAAAATCGTCTTCAAATAATCTAAAAATGTGTGTTACATTATGTCTTTTTTTAAGTTTTTCTTACAAGAATCATTTTTATGATTATCAAATTTTGTCGAAATTAATGCATTGTTACTAATTATTTGCTGTATCAACATACTAAACTAGCAAACAACAAAACAACGTTTGAAAATTTTATTTTTTCGTTATCACTTTGTAATTTTATCTTTAATGATTTCATAAGCTGCAAAGCATAAGATGTTGTACCTTAATACGCAAGTGTTAAGGTTGAAATTACATTGCCCGATTGGTGCATGTATCAATAAGTTGAAAAAATTTGACAATGAGGTGTAGGACTCGGTAGCTCAATTGGTAGAGTTTGTTGCTCTAACAATGCACCGAGCCACACGGAATGCTGACGATGCCGGTTCAAGTCTTGCCCGAGTCAAAAAATTTTTAAATTTATTTTCGATTTTTAAACTAACAAAACAACGTGTGCAGGATCAGCAAGTGTAATAAAGACTCTAGAAAAAATCTATAATTACAGAAATAGCCACATATCCCACCTATCGGAACCGAAACTCCATTTATATTATCTATTATCCCTACACACGTCAAAATTACCTCATACAAATAGTCCGAAGCCTGTAATGTGTTTGCAAAAAACCAGTGATTGCTGTAATAAAGACAGTCATTCACGGAGCCCTATGGCCTAGAGTCACGCAATGGGGTGATTAAGAACGTGTTGTTTTGCAAACGCATTCGTTGGAATGGATTAGAATTCAAACAAACATGCTGAGTGGATATCATTACCGTATTTCTATAGAACGGGTTCTAGAACCCTGCTGCTTTTTAGATTCCTGAAGCGGGTAACGTCGAGAAAGGAATTTCTATTGCCTTGCTTTTGCAGTGGAAAATAAGGTCATCAAACATACTCTTCCTAGCTCTAGCGGCATGTGCGCAGTACATACAACTTTATTACTTTTTTCATATGTTATTGCACTTTTGTTTATGATAGAGAAGGACAGACAAGCATAGAATCCACTCGGTAGGTGAAATTCCATATAACATCTAATTTAGCTTTGGATATTCGGAAATCCACAGACTGAAACGGAAACGCGATTACACTCGACGGCTTTTCCGTCCGTGGACGGTTGTTCGTGACGCGTATGTTCTTTTAATATTCCTACCACACATTTAAGATCCAGATTTCTAGAAGAAGTAGAACGTATTTTAGAAAAAATATAAATTGATTAGAAACACGTTGATTATTCTTACATTGCTAACATTACATCAACGAGCCGTCGACAAAAATAGACTAAAAAAATCTATTTACATTGAAAATAAAATGTACGCCATGGGACTTTAACTGGTATATGCAGCGATGCTATTGCTGTAACCAATTGAGCTACCGTGTGTCACATACGTGTGAGCGTGGTAGCTCAATTAGGCCCCCCGGTCCAGATTTTTTCAATCTAAGTAGACTTTTTTCAAATCATTGTGATTTGAAAAAAGTCTAGAAAACCCTTATAAAAACTTATTATATTTATCGAGCAGACTTACATAATTAGGTAAAACAAATAATGGCTGTAAATTAATTTAGCGAGGCTATAAAATAATGGACGTTAGGGCGGACACATTTCTGAATCTGCCTTAGTGGCCAATTTAATTTATATGTAGGTATAAATAGCTTATCCGTTCAGTAGATTATCCTAGCTCATGAGGTGAATGATTTTCTTTGTCAGTATTAGAATCCCCGTCTTTTTGATACTAACTATAGGTAGTAAATAGTCTTACCCAAGATGCCCAATCTGTAATTGATTGTGACGACTACGAGGCCAGTGTAGGAAGCAAGTACGGTGCCATCATATGGATTCCCTGAGCTCCACTCGTAGCTTTCTCCATGGACAAACACAAGGACTGGATACCTGGCCACCGCGTCACGTACACCAGCTGGAAAAAAATGGTTATGTAGTAATTAGCAAATGGTAATTAAATAAACCAAAAACTTAGAAGTATAGTAAAAGACAACGAAATTGATACAATTCCATTAATACATTTTGAAATAATTATATTAATACATAGTGTTTCAAAAACTGAAGATCAGAATAGCCACGCTGTCTACAACTTATAACTAACGCTAGTAGCTAGTGTAACTAACTGTTATTACTTTAAATGGTTTAAAACGCGAAATATACAAGACAACTTATCCTGCATCCGACGGTGTATGTTTTATATTTTTTAGCATTATCAAGTGTTATTATAAAAGTTTATAAATACTCCAACTTTTTTCTGCTATGAAATATTTTAACAAATTGCTTAGGTATTGTTGTGTTGAAGTAATTTAAAAATAAAAAACATATTAACTTTATTGCGAACAATGTTTTATTACTAAAAAGATGAAAGGAAGTTCGATTAAAAGACACACAGAACAAGGAAAACAGGGCATGATTTTCCGCTTCCTATATCCGTTAAAATGAATACTCGAATGACGTCTGAAAGTGATATTGCAAATGGAATTAAACCGATCCCATTTTGCTCTCTTTGAGATGTTTGGGCAGTGTTAAGCCCGTTGATTTTGGGAATACGAGCTTTGTGGCGTCAGGTGGTTTCAAAACGTCATGACTATGGGCGTAAATAGCATTGAATTAAGACTAGAATAGTCAGTACTTATATTAAGAATGAAAATACAAGTTCTCAAGAATATACAATGAGGCAAGTTTTTATATGATTTTAACTAAAATGCTAAATAATAAAATAAATTTTGCTAAGAGTAGTACATTACAGGCGGGACTCAAACTTACGATCAACATCATATCGAGCTCTTTTAGTGCTACTATTTCATCAGTTAAGTTAATAAAATCTCTGACTTTTAAATAACACACTTTAACGGTTTAAAACGCGGTATATTACCGTTAAAGTGTTTTATTTAAATGTGTACTACTCGCGTAAACTATAGACAATATTTAATCTCTGACTTACTTTTCTATTATACTATATTATACGCAAAGTAAAATTGTAATACGATATACATTTTTGTTCCCCGCAGATCAATTATAGAGAGAAAATTTAAATTGACTACAGTTTTCACAACAACTAATTGTAAATATTTTTCCAACTGTTTTATTAAATAACGTCTTTTTAGGATACAGAAGGACAGACAATTATCGGGTTCAATTGATGGTAGGTGTAATACCCCAGCCATATAACATCTAAGCAATGTGCGCTGTCGACCTAATTTGGCTTTGGATATTCGGAAATCCACAGATTGAAACCGTACCCTAATTATAATTAAATATAAATTATCCAGCTATTGAATTTTCAATATAACATATTGTTTTGATAAATAAATCTGAAACACTAACTAACAGTCGTCAGTAGTCAGTCTTTATTTGCCCTTAATAAAAGAGAAAAATAACGCACGTTCCCTAACGTTTAGGCGAAGTTAAAAAAAAAAAAAAGTTATGTATTTCAAATTTAATTTAAAAGGGAACATTTTTTAAGTTGCATTTACTTATATCTATAATATTGAATTAAATTTATAGTTTTATATATAGTTTAATATCAGGTGCTGATTGAAAGTAATTGGGAAATCGGGCATATAATCCGACCTTTATGTCGCTTTGAGTACAAAACCAATGACCCCCAACAAGGGGTAAAATAAGCTATTCCGAATGCCATTTAAAAATAAAATCAATACACGTGTATGATTTTATTTTTAATGCAATGTCGTAATGTGTAATAAAGATATCACGAAACCAAACATACGATATAAAACTCTGTTAACGGTTTTAATTGCGCATTAAATTACATGTTTTAATTTTTATATGCTACAATAGGGTTATATTGTACAATTTAAATAAATGTTACAGATACTTAACTAATCTTTACCTGACGACAACGCTGAGAGAACGCTTTATAGAATTGATTTTGTATGTATCCATTTCAGTTTGCTTAAAATATTTCGTGAATAGTAACACATTACATAAAAACGTCAAACAATTTGTTGTATTGGCGAAAATAGTCAAATAAAATGATATAACAAAAGTCCAGTTATGATTAATTGATAAGTTTCGGTCGGACAGAGCATTGAATCTGATCAACTATGATTTGCCTGTAGATAATACCGTTCACTGAAGCAGACAGATTTTACTTATTATTTGAGTAATTATATTATGTTTTTTTTTAGTTCGTAAGCATATTGAGGCTTATAAATAAAATATTGTTGAATACTTGTAAAACTTAAATTATTATAAAATTGTGAAGTGTAGGAAAAAACTGTACCTAATCTAAAAAGGATTTCATTCGAAACTAAAAAGTGTCGGATGTAGAATGACATTAAGCTATTATTTGGCCACAATAAGAAATAGTTCGGGTTCATAATACATTGAAATACGAAAGGGGACAGTGTCAAATGATGTGAGTGAGGTGGACATATTACTATAATAGGACCACAAAGCTTTAACCTTTTTCTGTGTTCATTTTACATTCCAGTTTCGTGTTTATCCGTAGAAATCTTTTCGGAACTGAAATCGGACCGGGGTTTCAGCGCTTTCCGTGAACAATGGGACATTTATTTACGCAAAATGTGTTTAGGGTTTAAAACACATCTAATAAATTCAATGCGTATTGAAAACATAAACATATTTACTAACTACTGACAATTTACTTATATCTTTGTCAATTGACACTTAGAATACGGAACTGTCACTGTCAGTTCATAAATAGATCAACAAAAAAAATCAACAAGTGAGCTTAATTTGAAAGGAGTAGGAAGAAAAAATGTGAATTGATTACACACATTACCTCAAAGAATAGGATTGTTAATACCAATGTGGTGCTCTAACAAAAGAATATAAAGAGGATTGCGGAGTGACGCCATTTCGTTAAATGGAAGCTTTAATAAAATGGCGGCGGGGCCATCACTCGCGGACCTAGGGTCACACTTACTTTTTATATTTCGTCCTTATCTTCGAGTTTAATGCTTAATCTGGGGCGAAATGTGTCGACGATTGTCTCGGAAACAGCAAACTTATGACCCGGCTACTTTATCTAATTTTATTTTGCGTTGATACGGCTCTTACAAAGGGTCTGCGAAATAGTTATTACTTATTACATACAAAAAAGTTAGTATACAGACTTACTTTGAAAAATATTTTTTTAGTCTTGGTACTACAATATCGAACATGACTATAGAGTTAAGAATGTAAAGGCATCTAAGTTGGATTTTTTGTTTTTAACACGCTTTCAGTGTAAATCTCATTTACCTACGTTTATATTATGTTATACATACAGACACGAAAGACATCCTCATATGACAAGGATATTTTAATAACATACATTATTTCATATTTCTATTTTTTCACTTATCTAGAGTCGAATTAAATTAAGTTAGTTATTAAATGATTAATTGCGAAAAATGTTACTTAACCTAATATAAAAAGGGTTAATCAACTTTATAGTGATTAAAAATTGCGTATTTAAATCTCTTCCCCTTTCACAACTTAATTGCATTCAAATAAAGCTTAAAACCATTACCGGATCCAAGTAAAAAAGTGATTCCATAAAATATAAGAATGAATCAATTTTATAGGTCAATCGTTCATTTCAATTTTACAGTTTCAGTGAATTTTTGCCAATCGAGACTTATGCACCGCTTACGTAATATATTTCAATTTATTTATAAACTCATGAATATCAATGATATCGAGTACCTACGGAGCAACTCGTTTACTTTAAATTATTTTCGTTGATTGTAAACTTTAATATATGTTTGTTAACTTTAATAAAAAAATTAAAATAAACATGTTCGGGGCGTTTTATTTACCCAGTCAATATTCGAAGCCTAGACCACGAATACTGGAATTAATGCTGGGTAATGCTCTTAGCAAGGTGTAGGTATAGATTACACTAGACGCAACATCATCCGCGTAGAATCGCTATTTAGGGCATCAAAAATTTTTCTTGGTAACTTCCTCCTTAAATTTATAAGTTTCAGCTTTAAAAAGAAATACATATTCTGTCGTGGAAATTTTTTTAGATTGTTTAAGGAGAATCATTCTTTCATACATGTTTTTTGGGTATCTTGAACGGTTATTGCAATTCAATGGACTGTTTTTTCGTTCCTATTGGTAGAAACGTGATGTTTAAATGCTTTAACGAGCACAAAATACATTTAATTCTAACTAGTAGCTCCTGAGATTAGCGCGTTAAAACAAACAAACAATCCTCAGTTTTATAACATGTATATTACATTTTTAATGCCAAAATCAAAGACAAAATATATTATACAGCTTTAACTTTACTCGATAAATTATTAAACCAATCAAACCATTAGGAATCGATATTTTCCTTTAACCACTTCAAGTATATTAGAAACAAAGTTCATAAACAAATAAATTAACAACTCAAAATTAAACAAAGCAGAAAGGTCGACCCAATAAATATTCTCACCGTGCTCGAACAATAAAAGTATCCGAAAAACAATAAACAATCAAACAAAGTTGAACAATACTTGACTACCCTCGAACTAATAACGGGACTGGAGAACTAATATGTCTGCAACATAAGGGCCATTGACTTTGTGTAATAACGATATATTATTTTTACTAGACCTAAACGGTAATAAAACGGCTGTGAGATAATGCTTTTTAGTGCGTGCTTCAAGCTGTCCCGTTTGATAACCTTCGAAGATGTTATTTGATGCCAAGAAAATCTTTGGAGATAACTACACCTACTAATAGTTGAATAAACGAAAAGGAGGTTTCTTAATAACATCCCATATATGATATATATATATATATATATATCCCATATTAAACACTTATATTTTCTGGCATTTACGCGAATAGTTAATAAAATCCCTAAAAGTGGCGCAGAATAGAGAACAGACCCTACAGCATTTCTATGCCCAATCAACTTCTACCAGATGGTGTTAGCAGCTTGGACTTGAA